AGCTAAGGCTTTGCATTACCTCGGTTGGCTTTCATGATTAGTGATGAGAAAGCATTGCACTAGGAAGACTTGAAGTTGGTTGAGAAAAATGAATAGTTACAAGAGGTTTGGTTTTATTTTTAGAGATCATTCTCCAAATGGAAAATTATTGAGTTATGGAGACTGATATGGATGAGGGCTTATAGTATAAGACACTATATAGATCTAGCATAGTTTAGCCAAGAACTAATGTAAAGTATACACTAGATCATTCTCTATGTGGCCTCTCAATGAAAATGTGAATAATCTCTATTGAACACTTGAATCATGATAAAATATCTCTGTGGCATAGTCTTGTTAAATATGTTTTTTTATGATGAAATTCTTTTTATCTTTCAAAAATGCCCTGTTGAATGTTTGATTCAACTCTCTTTTAAAATATAGCTAGACAAAAACATTGAAAACTAGGCATAATTTAGTCAATAACCAACATAAAGTATACACCAGATTGTTCTCTATGTGGCCTCTCAATGAAAATGTGAATAAAGTCTCTTGAACACTTGAATCATGATAAAATATCTCCATGGAATGATTTTACACTATAAAAATGCAAGACATAAAGTAAATACACAATAACATTAAACAATTCAAAATTACATCAATTAAGCATCAAAACGCACACCAACACCTAACTTCTACATGCTCTTGTGCTTGAGTTGGGTTAACACTTACCTTATATGTAGCTTTTGATGGAAAACACTTTAAAAAGACTTTACTTTTCACTCTTGTTTTTCTCTCGACCAAAACTCTAAAATTTCCTCTTAGCAATTTTGCATCTTGATCGGCCAACCCTTACTTTAACCTATCCTTAAGTTTTTCATTCCTTTTTAAAAATCAAAATGACCAAAATCTTGGTCAAGGTAACTCTCGACCTATTTATAACACTTAGAAAATTAAAAAATACTATTAATTCTAGGTTGCCACATGTTTTTGCCACTAATCTATGCCATCTTAGGAAGGTGACAACATACTGCCTCTCTATTCAACAAAGCTAGAAAAAGTGTTAATGACTACTTCTCGACTAGTTGCTTAAGGAAAAACAACCTCCTCACATGTCTACTTATTTTGCTTAAGCCCTAGGTATTTTATGCGTCACAAGTAGGTCCCTAACCACCCTACATGCTAAGACATGACCATTCATCAATAAGAATTGCATGTCATGACATAATAATATTCGTCAATGAAAATCTCTATTTATGACAACAATTTTCCTTGACATAAAATAGCATGTCATGATCTAACAAATTTTCAACGCAAACAAACAACATGACATACGTATAGAAAAAAAGTAAATTACACACACACACATATGCATATGCTATGTCCAAAGATCTCGACTATTAGATAATTAGAGTATTTTAGAGTTTATTATGTGAGAGAGATCATAGTAGTGGATATTGTGAGACTTGAATGGAGATGTATAAATGAGTTTGAAAGTAAAAAAAAAAAAAAAAAATGAAGTTGAAAAAAAAAATTAGGCAACATAGTAACAAAAGATGGGACGAGTCATTTTATTCCTCATTTTTCACCCTTTCTCTTCCTCGCTTCCTTGTCTCTACTACCCCATTTCCTTCATTATTTCTAAGCTAAAAACTTTGTCTAAATACCCTATAAAACATGAATGTAAGAAGATTAAAGTGATATTAAGCTCGATTAAAGTTTGGAAGGTCTTGAGGAATAGAAAGATTGAAATTGTGGTTGAAGAAACATTTGTCAAATGTCATATTTTTATTATTTAATCTTAAAATTGAGATGATTAAATGGGTTTATTGATTATTGTGGATTTATTTTATATTAGATTTATTATTTGAATTAGAATTAAGTTAGGTTAGGGTTAGAAGTTGAATTGAATTTGAGGATTTGAGGATTTAACAATAAATTATGTTAATTGATGCGTGAAATGAGATAATAGTGGTGTGAAATTTATTATTGAACTATGAGTTTAAGGAATTCTCAAGTTGGTTGAGATAATGAATTGAAAAAAAATTATAAAAAGTATGATTTAAGTAATTTTAATTTATTAGATTATGATTAATTGTCTAGTGGTTAATGATTTATGAAGTTAATTTGGAGTTTAATTTACTTGATTTTATTATATAAATTATTTTAGGATTTTATGGATTAAATTGGAATTTTTTTTTATTTATAGGATATGTAGAGTTTAGGTTGTGCTGAATTTTTAGTGTGGTTATGGAAGTGTTCTTGTGATAATACACGATTTTTTTAAAAAGGTTGAAGATGATAAATAGTAAAATATGAAATTTTGAAAGGTTGAAGATGATTAATAGTAAAATCTAAATTTTAGAATTTATTAGTTAATTGTTAAGTAAGGAGTTTAACTATGAATTTATTGATTAGAATAGAAGATTTGTTATGATTGTTTTAATGATAGGAATTAAATTGCTTTGGAGCTTAAGGAAAATTTATGAATTGTAGAGATTAGTTGTGTGAAAATTGAATTGAAAATTGATGATGGACAATTGAAATTGATGATGGATAGTTAATTGTATTAAAGTGTAAATTCATTTGTTAAAGAAAGATTGTAGAATGAACCGAGGATGTAGTTTTTTGGTAATTGTCTAAAATCGGTTAAGTAATAGTTTAGTAAAAAATTCTTGATTTGAATCTTTTTGATAAATTTCATTCTTGTAATTTGTCCCGCATTTCGATTTCTAGAATAATTCATTTGCTTCTGAATTATTCATTGAGATATGATATTAAATAATTATTCGATCATTTTGTGTTATTAGATTCTTCGGATCGACCTACTCTATTCCGATAACTTTGACTTTGCATGATCTTTCCACTCTAAGTGAATTGTATGTAGCATATTATATTTTTAAGTTCTTTTGATATATTTGTCATGTATCATTGATTTAATTATGACATAATCATATTAGAATTTAGACAGGAAATAACTTCTTGTGTTTTTGGAAAGATTTGATATTGAAAAATGGTTTGATACGATTCTAAGAAAAGTTTGATTATGCATTTTGAATAAGTTTTTTATTTAAGGTTTGATTTAAAGTAATGGATTTGACATAAAAAAATGGTTTGATATGATTCTAAAAAAGGATATGATTATATGTTTGAACAAGTGTTTTACTTAAGATTTGATTTAATGCTATGAATTTAAGTACTTTAATTTCAATACTTGATTATGATTTTATTTGTATAATTTAAGTAAGTATTTGATTTACAATTTTGAATATGAATTTGTATTACCAAGTTCAGTTTTGAGCATGAATTGTATTTGGATATGCTAATTTTGAATTTTTAGATATTTATAAGTTTATTCTATTTTCGATTTATTACGAAGGGCATAGCCTGTGAGTTCATTGATACATAATGCTTCGGCTAGCGAGGAGAGGAGTAATGCCTATGTGTTAGCCAATATACAAAAACCTAGCAACAGGGGTGTAGCCTTTAGATGTTCGCATCCAATTATACATTATATTTCATTTCACCCCAATTGTAAATTTGGATACTTGATTTGATTTGATTATTCTATATATAGATTTCAATGTTTGATATGATTTGAATTGATTATAAGTAATTCGATGTGTGATTTTGATTTTAAGTGTTTCTGTCGTGAGATTTCAATTTGAATTTGAATTATTTGATGATATGACATACGAGTTAATATTTAAAATATGCATTTGACTTTGAAAAATAAACATTGCATCTTGAGCAAATTTTAAATTATTGTTCGTTGATATGTTTTTCTTTCTTAAATATATTATGTAGTATCTACTCACCGGGTTGTTGATTTGCTCACATCCCACTATTTTAGTTTTATAGGGTTTATGAGATTGTCATGTTACTTCCACAAAGCTTGTTTGTCTTGAACCATGCATATTGATCATGCAGCTTATTTATTTGCAATGTTTTAAACTTATATTTTGATATTATAGTACCCTTTAGAAGCTCTAGAGTTATATTTGTAGGAGTTGTAATAGGTTTCTTAGGATTATTGCTTTGGATATTTATAGGTATTATGAAATTATAAATTGGGTTGGAATTAGAAAATATTGATCGATTAAGTTATGATATTGTGAATTGAATAAGAGTTGTGCTAAAATATTGATTTAGAATTTTATTTTAAGAAATGGTATTTGATTTTTTATAGGTTTGATAATTAAGATTAAAGTATTTAAGATTTGTTTGAGTCGAGATGGATCCTATAACTTCCTCGATTCTTCCGCCAGCCATGGCTCACTTCGGAGTCGTGACAATCTTGCTTTCTTTAGACCTTTATTTATCATTTTATTTCCATGCTTTTATTTACAAGCACCATGCTTGAAATAAACTCTTCACGGTTTATGTACATAAATCTTTATGATTTATCGTTCAACATAAATTTTAAAATTAGTTTAGTGTAAATTTCTAGGTTTATCAACTGATGGCTCAGCATAAACTCATAATTCTATTACTTGATAAAGACTTAATTGTTTCTAAGTGATTAAAACATGTGGTTTTTAAGAACAATGTAAGCATTTTTGGGACTTAGTCATTGATTTAGTTTTTGAGGCTAAATTCAACTCTAATAATGTATACGTTATATTTCAACAATCTTTATTTTTGCAGGATGGCTTTGCTAATTCTTGTTTATTTGGACTTATTGGGTCTAGGCTTTTAAGAGAATCCGTAATCCTTCTTGATTGGGAGGTTGTTGCCATCTTTTCACAAATTGAGTTCAAAGTAATAGAAAAGCTGCTCGACAAAAGGAAAATATTTATATTGGTAACAAAGTTATAACAGAAGCTACAGCAATTGTTTAAATCAATTGTTTATCAAGTCAACATGTAAAATTCTGATTACATGCTTCTTTAAGTACGTAGCTTCTAGCTTTAGCGATAAAGATGGGCTACGTCATGGAACACAACTTCCATGGCTATCTTGATTATGCCTGTAAGGAAATACAAACAATATTGAATACTTGTTTCAGTAAAAAGATGAGGTCACAGGTTAATTAGTGAATGTATGGAGTTTAATTTGCTTGCCTTGCTAGAGATATTGCTGGACAGCCAATCAAGACCTTCATATAGTCCTTGGCCTGAGGTAGCACAAGTAGCTTGAATGTACCTATAACAGCCGATTTGCAAATGCCACTAGTCAAAACAAAGTGATAGCTCAATCTTGCCTACTTTGGTTCCTAGATTAATCAGTTGTACTGCATGTGGCTTCTCTTTTCTTAATTAGAGTGACCCAAATCATATCAGAAATTGATTGATATATTCTGATTCATGACATGACTTAAAGTTCTGATGCAGCCCCAAGGTTCAGATGAATGGCGGCATAGTTTAATGTAAAATATTTACCAACGGCGCTGGCGCAAAGAGTGCAAACCAAGCTTATCAGTGATTTCTGAAACACTCATAGCATTTGGAAGGTCTTGCTTATTGGCAAATACAAGCAGTGTTGCATCAGGCAGTTCATCCTGCAATATTTTAAAGTAAACATGCAGTTTATCAGATTTTCTGGTCTCTATGACTTGTACCGGATTTTCTTTGAATCACTGTAAATCAAATTGCAAAGTTAGTGCTCAATTTATTAAGAAGAGGTTATGCACCTCGCTCAGCATCCGATGAAGCTCATTTTTGGCTTCTGTAATCCTTTCTCTGTCATTGCTATCTACCACAAATATGAGGCCCTGGGTGTTCTGGAAGTAGTGTCTCCATAATGGTCGAATCTACACAATCAAGGATTAGAAAAAGAAAAAACGATAGTAATAAGAAGAAGAAGATTTGTTTACTTTGGTACATCACAAAATAAAAAATACCTCTGATTACTAAATTCTCCCATTTGAAAAACATTTGTTCATATGTTCATGTGCACATACAGTTAGGAAATTTTTTCTATGTGCCTGCATATATCTACATAAGAATTTTGTATATATAAAGATCATGTTGAGTACCTTATCCTGTCCTCCAACATCCCAGACAGTGAAGCTAACATTTTTGTATTCAACGGTTTCCACATTAAACCCTGATCCAACAAAATACTAATCAATAAAACAGTAACTCCATTTCCTCTGAAATTTTCAATAAAATTAGATTTCAGGTTTTGTTCTTCATTGGCTTAGCCATATAGATGAGCAAGGTTTAAGAGAGAAGGTATTTATTTTACAAGAAAGATATTTGTTTGTTGATTAACCTTATCAAACATATTTATTTCAAATGAAATTCTACTAGTCTGATGTTAGTTTGAGTAAACCATACAGGCTTGATCTCTTCAAAGCAGAATGGTTCAAGTTATCTAATCATTTCTTTCCTTTCTGAATTCTGATTGCTAGAAATGGTATCAATATGAGACTAACTTGTCGTATTAGTGATTAATGCACAAGCAAAGATGCAAGGTATTATAGATTACCTATAGTAGGTATGGTAGTAACAATCTCTCCAAGCTTCAACTTGTAGAGAATTGTAGTTTTTCCAGCAGCATCTAGACCTACCATCAGAATCCTCATTTCTTTTCTTGCAAAAAGTAGCTTCACAAGTCTAGATATGGCCAAGCCCATTGCTTCACCTGGTTGACTGATTCAAGCAAATTTGGGGGACAGACAACTTATACCAACGAAAATAGAACAAAAAATTTAATAACTTTGAGCTAGTGAAAAAAAAAAAAAGAAGTGTTTGATTTGCGTACCTTAAATAACAAATTAAAAATATGGGAGGAGAAAGTTAAACAAAAGAGAGTGTTTCCCTGCAAATTATATAAGTAACAAGAGGCTATCATCGATTCATGTCATAAAGTGGAAAGAGAATAGGATTCTTTTAAAGGGATGTGGAAGAATAAAGGGAAGTAGCTAGCTTTGTTTTGCTTTCGGTAGTGGCGAAGTATATTCTCATGTTCGACATTGATTTGGAGTTGTGGGCGTTGAGGTTAAAAATAAATATTTTCAATTAGTAATGAGTAATTGAATTGAATTAGAAAACTTTTATTCTCTAGGGACTAAATCTAAATATTTAAGCAACATAAAAAACTGATCAAGAAAAGAATCAAGAAAATTGCAATTCAGTTTTGAACATGACAGAAATGGCAGCAAGGCTCCTCTACGTGGTTCTTACTTTATTTCAATTTTCTTTTATTAACTTTCTTGTTTAGGAATGATTGTAGTAGGAATTTTATTCCTAAAGTCTAGTTTATTTTCCAAACTTACGTAATCATATAAATAAAGAAGCACTCACTGTCATCGTAATTTTTTTATAAGCCCCATCAGTACACACAAATTCTTACAATTTATTCTTTCAAGCTTTCTTTCTTTATGCTTTGCAATTTATCTTTCTTACAATTTACTTTCATAAGTTTACAGCTTTTTTTTTTTTTTAACCGTTTTTCATAATGTAGATCTTAGTTTCTTAGGGGCTTTTTCTCTCAAAAAGTCTTTGTAGTTTATTAAGTTTTCCTATCTTAAAACTTTAACCAACCAGCTTGATTTAGCCTCTTGATTTATTATGATTTTCTTATAATCCTAATCTTTTAATTTATTTCCTTGGATCTACGTTATCCTCACAAGTTAAATCCTAAGTACTGCATCCAACTCCTCCAAGGAACTAAAATTTAATTGGTAACATGTTTAGTGACACACCTAATGGGACATAGCAATGTCAAGGTAAAGAATTAGCTCACATCTATGGATTCATCTATAAATCTCTACTCATCTAAACTTTCTTCCTTTTATATGTGGATTTCTACTCATATAGACCATCTTTGGTAGTGCTTCCATATCTTATAAATTCTAGGACATGTTTATTATTCTAATCAAGATTATTGGTCAACTAGAAGGTCAAATAATTAGTTTTATGACCACAACAATATTGGCTAGGACAAGAACTCGCTACTCAACCTACTTATCAATCAACAATTAATCGCTTAACAATCCAAGATATGTTCCGTAACACCCTCAGCCTTAAAGAGGCTAGGAGTGCTATGAAAATGCTACACACTTGTAGAATGTGAGTCCAAGCCATATGACCTCTACCTCGTATATAACATACAATGCACAAGTATAAATATTTTTGTTTATAGTTCGAGGCAGCCTTGGTTTAACACATTTAAAGCCAACACAAGTTTCACAATTCATAAAACCATTTCATAAACTTGTAAACTTGTATATATATTGACATATCAAAATAGCTCAATTGTAAAATGGTTTTATAAACAAAAGTGACGAAACATATGAAACATAGCCATTGTTTAATAGTTAAAATTTAAACCTATATTTATAGTACACACTCGCAGTAGCATCTTTAACATCACAAGCATGCATTTACGCATCATTTTACTCACCTACACCACAAGAAAAACAATAAGTCAAAACTCAATAAGTGTAATCATGCATAGACTTAATAAATATGCTTTTCATGCTGAAATTTATTTTTCTCTTTTGAGCACACTATGCTGAATATTTGAATCAGCCCTCTTTTAAAACTATGCTTTACGAAAATCTTGAAAAGAACTAGACATAGTCTAGCTAAGAGCCTTACATAGAATATAAATCAGATCATTCTCTTTGCAAGCCTTTTCCGAACATAAACATGACCTTTCTTTGAATACTTGAATCATGATAAAACATTTTCATGGCATGGGTAAAAAATTAAAATTAAACGTCAAGTAAACATATCATCACAAGTGTTTAGTCATCAAGTAAACACTTGAACAAAAAACCATATAGCATCTACCTGTCTTTATGATGAGTTGGATTACATTTACCTTAGGGTATAGCTATCGCTAAAAATACGCTAAAGCTCTCAAAAATCTCACCTTTCTCTCCTATTTCACTCTCGATAACATACTCGTCCAAAATTCCTTTCTCTTGACAAAATCAATTTTTTTCTCTTGTTGTTATTAGGTTTTTTAATGCTAAACCACCACTAATGAGACTTAGCAACTCTCCCACATCCTTCCCCTCTTGGCCAAAATTAAAATAATTCAAGAAAACCTAAGGTTGACATATGTCCGGTGTCATATTCAAAATATTTCTATGCCTTCCATGTGTGTTATTTATTAAGTATGTTCATATCATGCATGTGTTATTATTAATAAGTGTTTTATTTGCAAAATTAATACTATTAAGTGTTATGTGTGAATAATAAATTATTGACAAGTGAAAGACTTAGAAAATATGGTTTAATTAAATAATTCTCATACATGTATAACTTAGGATTTAAAATTTAATTAGTATTCTAAACATGAATTAACTAAGAAATAATATCCTAATTAGGTGTTCCACATAAATTAAATGTCCGATGTAAAATAATCATCATAGGACATGTATCTCATTAAAGGTATTTTATCCAAAGTTTTAGCCAAGAGATAGAAATAAAAGAGAGAAAATTTTGCTTGGGCTTTCATTTAACATTTCATTTGTCTCTATCCGTATTTGATAGACCATGAACACTAAGAGAGAAAAAAGAGTAAGAAAGACTTAAAAAATTAAGAGGAAGAATGAGAGAATAAATTTCTCAAGTAAAGGAGGTGAAATCATCAAAAGGAAGCAAGCTTGGCCTAAAGGAGAAGAAAATTATCGAGAGGGAGAGAGGGCTTTTTTGGTCAAAAGTTTGAGCAAGGAAGAGAGAGGGGATCTCAAGGGTTTTCAAGGTGATTTTCATTTCAATTAGACCTAAGGTAAGTATAATTTCAACTCATCACAAGATTAGGGTTGTATGTGTTGGTTTGGTGAATTGTGTTCTTACGAAACCTAGGATTTCATATTGTGCAAACGAATGAATTGTGTGCAATTGATGCTTGAATTGTGAAATTGATAAATGATTGACAAATGTGATGCTATGACATGTATTTAACTATTGATTGAATGTGTTAAATGTGGTGTGCATATAAACTTAGAAATTCTAGGGTTTGGGTTAGTTATTAAATGAAGACTTTATATTATGATATGACTGGGTAAGCAATTAATTGGAGAATGGCCAATGTATTAATGATGGATATGTGTTTAATTATTGATTTAGCATGGGTGATGTGGTATTCATGTAAAACTTGAAAATTCTTAGTTTTAGTCTATGTGACTAATTATTGGTTAACTTTAATTGATGAATGTGCATAGTTATGTTGATTGGTATTTATGAATTGATGAGGGTTTAATTATGTTGGGTGACTTTTGGATAAATTTGGTTTTGGCTTGTTGATTTAGTGAGGGTGTTGTTGCTTGATATAATTCGGCCTAGGCATGTTGAGTGAGTGGATTTGATTTGCTTATGGTTACTTGATTTAGTTTAGACAATTAGATGATGATGGTGATGATGGATGATTAAGCTAAGTAATGTTTTGCTTGAGGTTATTTGATTTGGGATGATTTGGCTTCTTGAATAAATTTAATTATGGTTAGGTTTCATGGTTTTACATACATGTGTATATGATTGTTTAGTTTAATGGATGATTTTAGGTTAGGTAACTACTTGATACCACTTGACTATATGTTCTGGTGCTTATTAGATAATGGATGGTTTTGTCTTTGGTGTATGCTTAATGTGATTCGGTTATAAGCTTGTTAATTGAATGGTTTAGGAAACTTGATAGGTTTGGTTTAGCCTATACTTGTCGAACTTGTTGTTAGGATTATGGATTGTATTGATGGTGATTGATTATGTTGTTGTTGTTTGATACATTTGGCTTGTTTGATGGATTTAGGTTGCTTATGGTTGCTTGGCTTAATTGGTTTAATAATTGTAAGGTTGAATTGATGAGAAATGATTTGCCCTACGTAGGTATAATGAAAGATTATATGCTTGTGTCATGTGAGGAATTCAGCTAATGTCCATGGAATTTCTTGATGTTGTTATGGATTGATAAAATTTAGATTTGATGATTAATTGAACTTATGTGGATTGTGTTCAATGTTGGTTTAGGCATGATGTTATTCGGCCATGTGTTATTTTTAGACTATGTTCATGATTGGCTTGATGTTATTTAGGATGTGTTGACATTGTTTTCAAGCTTGATGATTTGACCTTGTCATATCATGTGAATTGTATTCATAAATGGCTTAATGCCATGTAGTTTATATTTATGTATATGCTTGATGTTGCATTATATTTATATTCATGCCATGAAATATTTTATTCCATGATTTCAAGCATTCAAGAAAAGACATGTGCATGATTTTATGAGAACATAGTTTTATGAGGACATTGATATAGTTATACATGTTCAAGAGTGATAAGAGGAGAGATCGACTTTTTGTGAGATTTATTCAATCGAACATGTTAGAGCCTTTTATGGCTTTTACGATGATAGTTTTAAAAGAAGGATAAATTTATATACATTCAGCGAGGTATACTCAAAAGACAAAAAAGAATTTCAAGCATAAGAAATAATGATTTTAATTGCATTCATGCATAGTTATAGTTACCGATTTTTAACTCATTATTTTGTCTTGTGGTGTAGGTAAGGAAAGCAATGCTTCGAGGATCGCTTAGATGCATCGAGGATGCTAACCGTGAACTATAGAGTTTTTCAAATCATGTGCTATATGTATAGGTTTAAAGTTTGAAGGCTAAA